TCCTTGTGTTTGACAATGTTTGCAGTGTTTCCTTCAATATTTATGGAATAATCCATTGGTGTAAGCCATGGCATAATCTTCTTCATTTGTATGCTGTACATTTTAATGTTTATTTGAATTTGATACCTATGGCTGAGTCGAACTTTTTGTTGTTCGATAATAGTTGAGGAACTTAGTATGGGCGACATCGAAGCATGATGCCTACCTTTTATCACATTTTTCTGTAATTCATTGGTCATCACTATCGTGCACCAAGTCTGAAGTTCTCAATGTTTCGGGACATGTGGCACCTACAGAGGTTAGTGTCTTGACTACACGACAAGCTCGCCATATAATTAATATTTACTCGTGTTGCTTTAAAGTTTAAAATTACGAGTCTGATGTGATTCAGAAGCACCCTGGGAGCTTATTGGAGGGATTTACACAGACACAAGTCAGTACACTTGCAGTAAAAGATAAGCTGCTTGTTGCTGGAGGATTTCAGGGAGAGCTTATTTGCAAGGTAAAGTTGTTTATCACTTTTTATTTTCACTATCTGCATAGTCATAAGCTTTTTCCCCAAATCTTTCTTAATAACAACCCCGACTTGTCAACAATTTGCTTGATCGTGATAAAAACACCTTGAGACTCCGGAACAACATTTGAGGGCACTTGCTGAAGTCTATTGTAACAGCTCAAGCCCACCGCTAGCAGATATTGTCCTCTATTGGATTTCCCTTTCGGACTTCCTCTCAAGGTTTTTAAAATACGTATACTAGAGAGAGGTTTCCACACCCTTATGAAGAATGTTCGTTCTCCTCAAATGTGAGATCTCACCATCCACCCTTCTTCGGGGCCCAGCGTCCTCGCTAGTACTCGTTCCCTTCTCCAATTGATGTGGGACCTCACAATCCACCTCCCTTTGGGGTCTAGCGTTTTCGCTAGCACTCGATCCTCTCTCCAATCGATGTGGGATCTCACATCTATTAACCTCATGCGACCGTTGTTTTCGAGCTTGGATGAATTAGAGTTATTATTGTGATTACTTGTATCAATTATCATATTGTTTTTACCTTGCTTTATTGCAGCATCTCGACCGCCCGGGTGTTAGTTTTTGTTCCAGAACAACTTACGATGATAATGCCATAACTAATGCTGTTGAGATATATACCAGCGCTAGGTACATTTTTCTTCTCTCTTGGTTAAGCAGGTACTTATACATTTCTTTCCTTCTGTGGAAGTTATTGAACGTATTCCAAAATTTTCAGTGGTGCGGTTCATTTCACTGCTTCTAATAATGATTCTGGAGTCAGAGATTTTGATATGGAGAAATTTCAGCTTTCCAGGCACTTCCGTTTTCCTTGGCCAGTTAATGTGAGTCCTCTGAATTCTACTTTTCTGTTTTATAAGCAAGTAAATGGAACACATTGGTTGGTTGGAGAGGGAAACTGTTTGGCTCAAGCCCACCGTTAGCAGATATTGTTCTCTTTGGGCTTTCCCTTTCGGGTTTCCCCTCAAAAGTTTTTAAAACGCATTTGCTAGGGAGAGGTTTCCACACCCCTATAAAGAGTGTTTCGTTATCTTCCCCAACCAGTGTGAGATCTCACAATCCACCCCCTTCGGGGCCCAGCGTCCTCGTTGGCACTCGTTCTCTTCTCCAATCGATGTGGGACCCCCCAATCCACCTCCCTTCGGGGTCCAGTGTCCTTGCTGGCACACCGCCTTGTGTCCACCCCCCTTCGAGGCTCAGCCTCATCGCTAACACATCGCCCCGTGTCAGGCTCTGATATCATTTGTAATGCCTCAAGCTCACTGCTAGTAAATGTTGTCCTCTTTGGGCTTTCCCTTTCGGGCTTCCCCTCAAAGTTTTTAAAACGCGTCTGGCAGGGTGAGGTTTTCACACCCCTATAAAACATGTTTTATTCTTCTCCCCAACTGATGTAGAATCTCACCGGAACAAAACATTTCTTATAATGGTGTGGAAACTTTTTCCTATAAGATGCGTTTTAAAACCTTGTGGGAAAGTCTTTGAAGGGATAGCCCAAAGAGGACAATATCTTCTAGCGGTGAGCTTGGGTGGAATGGGGTGGAATCTCACCAAAGACTGTTAATGTTTTTTTTTTGGTGGTGCTGAAAGCCACACGTAGTCTTGTGAGTGGAAAAATAATGTGCTGTGGTTGCTTGTATGACCCATCAAGATCCTCAGTTACCATTTTAGATTGTTTGTGTCTGTGCATATATTTGTACGCTATCATATACTTGAGTCACGTATTCGGATCTAATGGGTCGTATAAATATTTCAGCATGGCGCCTTGAACCCAGACGGTAAACTTCTCGTGATAGTTGGTGACAATCCTGACGGTTTATTGGTGGACTCACAAACTGGAAAGGTACTCGTAATAGCATCAGCATGATGATCGTCTTAGTAAATCATTTATCGACTTATTAAGTACATGATCTTTGCAGACAGTTGCATCTCTACGTGGGCACTTGGATTTTTCATTTGCATCAGCATGGCATCCCGATGGCATTACCTTTGCCACTGGGAACCAAGACAAAACTTGCAGGATTTGGGATGTAAGAAATTTGTCCAAGTCAGTTGCTGCTCTAAAAGGCAACCTCGGAGCCATTCGCTCCATCCGTTATTCCTCTGATGGTCAGTACATGGCAATGGCTGAACCAGCCGACTTCCTGCACGTGTTCGACGTGAAAACCGGATACGAGAAGGAGCAAGAAATCGACTTCTTTGGAGAGATCTCTGGTGTTTCGTTCAGTCCAGACACGGAATCACTTTTCGTCGGAGTTTGGGATCGAACTTACGGTAGCCTTCTCGAGTACCACAGACGCAGAAATTATAGTTACCTCGACTCGCTGTTCTAAGTTTGAAAGTTTGTTTTTGGAGAAAAAAAAAAAACACAAAAACAAACCTGAGAATAAGTAGCAGCATGCAGTGGGTATGTTATAAGTGTATATTTAGTATTTTGTGAAACAAATAGTGTTGTGTTTTCTGGTTTGATGACACTTTGGTTTTGAAGAGACAGTTTGAGTGTATGCTGAAGGGAGTGTAAAGAAAGGCTTGTGGGGATAATATAATGAATAGATGGCCAGGGTGTCACCTCTTTGCTAATCAGTCCTCATAAATTTCTGTTATTGCACTTGTTGCCCTTTTATTTTGTGCCGCCCCAACATTCCCGTGCATCCCTCACAACATGTTTCCAAGAGTGAAAATTACCTCCACGTTCAACTTCAGAGTTCTGAAAAGGGACGTGCATCTTGTTTGTATAGACAGTAACTTTCAATTCTTTTAAGCCTTTTTTAGTAATCATATTCTTAGGTTCGTTATGTGGTCTCAGTTCATTGATATAACCCGAGTACTCGGGGTCCCAAATAAACGAGAATTGGATAGAAAAATCTTTAAACTAAAAAAAGTAGCCAATCAAACGCTTCCATGTCACCTCCAAAAATCCTCTTCCTTCCATCTCATCCTCACAAGCTATATCTCTCATCTCAACCACCTCTATTACTTCAAATATATGATCCTCATCCTCCCTCAATTATCCACTCCTAATCTCAACAGAACAGCAATGGCAGCCGCCGCCTCGTCCTCCGCTGTTTTCGCCGCCTCGTCCTTCTCCGCCTCCGTTGGGAGGCAGCAGCCGAACCCCTCCACCATATCATACCAAGGCCTCCGCCCACTCCCGGGGATCAAATCCAGCCGCAGCCTTGCAGGCGTCAAGAGCCCAAGATCCGTGGTGGTGAAGGCAGAGCTGAACCCATCCGTGGTGATAAGCCTGAGCACAGGGCTGTCCCTGTTCCTGGGGAGGTTCGTGTTCTTCAACTTCCAAAGGGAGAATGTGAGCAAGCAAGTGCCGGAGCAAAATGGGGTGACCCATTTCGAGGCAGGCGATGTGAGGGCGAAGGAGTATGTTAGCTTGTTGAAATCTAATGATCCTGTTGGGTTTAATATTGTTGATGTTCTTGCTTGGGGCTCTATTGGCCATATCGTTGCTTATTACATCTTGGCCACTTCTAGCAATGGCTATGATCCCAAGTTCTTCTAATTGTGGTTTGTATAGCTTATATGTATATCAAATCAATCTCTAATGGGGTTTTGTGGGATGAGTGGGGAAAAAGAAGGTGGGGTATGTGGACTTGTTTGAGTATCATTCGATAATAGTTTCTTTCCATAAGCACTTGAGTAGATATCATTCTCATATCGGCTATTATTTTCTTATTATTGCATGAATTTCTTTTGATTATTATTGCGCAAACGACATGTACAAGTGACACGAGACAAATGAATGGACAGGTAAATGTACATTTGAGAAGGCATTAGAGATAGTTTAAGGGCTAGAGAGCATCCGTGCAGGGTATGTTCTCGTAGGCGTTGGATATTACGTATAACTATACTAGACGAAAGTAGGTTGTGATTTCCATGATGCAAATGCAAATAAAATTGTGGCGACAAACGATTGTTGCAATCGAGCCATGTTAAGGGTCGAGAGAGAAGTGTATGATATAAAAAGAGGATGGTGCGTGTAACGGCCCAAACCCACCGCCCGTAGATATTATCTTCTTTGGGCTTTCCCTTTTGGGTTTCCGCTCAAGATTTTAAAAACGCGTCTTCTAGGAAGAGGTTTCTACACTTTATAAAGAATGTTTCGTTCTCCTCTCCAACCGATGTGGGATCTTACACAGATATTATTGTCATAAAAAAAAATGCTTCGTTCTACTCTCCAATCGATGTGGGATCTCAGAATTCATCTCATTCGCAACTTAGCATCCTCGCTGATACTCGTTCTTATTTCCAATCGATGCGGGATCTCACACCATGTTTTTGTTGTGTCCTATTATAGATTTGAAATTCGAAAAGGTATAATTATATTAAAAAATAAAAATAAAAGTTTAATAAATATATGAACTAAATTTATTTTTGATATTGTAAAATAATAAATATAAAAAAATTATAAATTTATAAATTAAAATTAAAATTTTAAATCGATTACTAGAAATACTCTCTTATTCCTACTATTATGTCTTCTCTGTCAAAGCCATCGATCCTCTGCCTTCCACAGTCTTGCACCCATCGTCAAGAATTCCAGAGGGTATCTCTGAGGTAAATCAAGTTCTATCCCTTTTCATTTTCCAGATTCAAACACTTTCAAGTTTTCTTTCTTGTTAATTCGATTCGATTTAGGTTTATCGAGCTAGGGTTTTCTCTGATTTTTGTGACTGCTTTTTCGTTCTTGTTTTACGAATCTAAAGAATCGTTTTTCATTTTCTTTGGGTTTGAAGGGCCGAGGAGACGAGGAAAAAGTCTAGAGATGACTACTGCAGCTCGACCCACATGGGCACCGGCTAAAGGTGGAAATGAACAAGGTGGCACTCGAATTTTTGGCCCATCACAGAAATATTCCTCCAGAGACATCGCTTCTCATACGACCTTGAAGCCCAGGTGCGTGTATTTAATAAATGTAATTGTTAGTTGTATATGGAAGATGGGGCTGAGGGTGCACTTACTATAGTTTGTTGATTGCGTTTGTTCATTAAATTTTCGTAATGTTGTGTTCTTTGTACAAAGTCTGTCGTTCTTGGTTGTGTTTAATCGTCTATGTGTTGCGACTTCTGAGGGATAGTGATTGTATGATGTGCACTGAGTTTTCTAGTGAGTGGAATGTTCTTAACTGGAATTCTGAGAACTAAATTGGTTTACGTGTGTGCCTTTTCAAGTGATTCCATCTTAGGGTAGTTGGTTTTAATGTGGGTGTGATCTGTTGAACAGAATTTTCATTCATTTTACTTGATCTTTGCCAAGGTGAACTTTTTTTAATTGTTGGATTCTGATGTTTCCACCTCTTGGATTATGTTAATGGCCCGTACCCACCAATTCTCAAGGAACTTGCTCACTCTTAGGTTTAATTCCTGGAGACAACAAGGGTTTTTGTACATTAAACTTTCGCCTTATGGTTGAACTCCAAACTTTTGGGAGAGTCTCTCTAACGTCCCGAGTCCTTACCTCTAGGATCACCGTGGGTGTTAAGCCAAGGTGAAACTTAGAACGATTTTAATTAATTGGCTTTCACTACTGGTTATCCGCATTTATTTTTCTTCACTAAGCAGGGTAATGACCAATTTAATACATAGTATAATTCCTCTAACTCTGTAGATGAATTTCTATTGGTATGAACGAAATTATAGAAGGGAATTTAAGGGAGTTACAAAAAAAAAAAAAAAAAAAAAAAAAAACGTGTTCATTGGTGTGTATGGAAGTTAAAAGAAAGAGTTGAAGATAAGATTTGACTTAGTATTCCATGAGGAGTTTGAAGGGACAATTGAATCCAAGATTTGAGAAATGGTTCTTTTTTCGAAGTTATAGATTCTTCTTTTACGTTCCAACCAAATATGTCATAGACTTCCAGGATAAATGTCAGCATTCAGTCATAAAATTTCTCTATAGTGATCATATAGAAAATTGATGAACATTTAATGAATCAAGTGAGAGAAGGGAAAATTGAATTGGAAAAGGTTGAAGATGAAGCCCCCAAAGCTTGACCATGTATTCCACCACTATTTTTGCAAAGACTGCTGTAGCTGGAGCTGCTGGAATTGAAGTTGGTAGAGTCATTGGAGTGTCTCTTTTGGGATCTTGTTATTTTGGCTTAAACCTCCAAGCCGAAGGCGCTGTTTACCGTCCAGGAAGGAAGGACTTCCATAACATTATACTAAAGGCAAGGAGGTGCTCTGGCTTGCCCTCAGTGAGATGATCGAAGAAAGATTTAATTTTTTCCCTCCACAAACTTTGCAATAAATTACATTCTTGCCTATCACTTCTATCTAACCATTCAATGAATCCTTCACAAACGTCATGAACAGCTTTAAAGTCTCTATATTGGAGAAGAGACTGCCATCAAAAAGCTCACACAATCGTAGTTAATCTGTACTTTAACCTATTATTACAAATGAGCCATATCAGCCATGTCTCAAAATGAGAATTGACTAATCTATTTATTATTGGCTAATGGCTATTTTTCTTTGTTTTATGTTTCCTTGGATATGGTGTTGTTACTTTTCTTCCATGATTTTAAGTCTCTAATCACTTGTCATTAATGATGCATGTAGGAAGGAAGGACAAGATACCCATGATGAATTGCAAAGGAGGAATCTCAGGGACGAGTTAGAAGATCGTGAAAGGAGGCATTTTTCATCAAAGAATAAATCATATGGTAAAGACATCCATTCTTTAGAAAAATATAGAATAATTTTTTTTGTTTGTTTTCGTATCATTTCTTATGGTTTTGTTCAAATATCCTTTTTCCATACTGTTGTATGACACGTTTGCCGAGTTGATCATGTTTCACTTGCATAATTTGCAGATGATAGAGATCATAGAAAAGGAAGCCAACTTCTGTTAGAAGGTTAATTCATCAGTTTCTGTATGCTTACATTTATTAACACATTCAGTAATTGTTTACTTAACCAGTTGTTATATATGTTTATTAGGCGGAAAGAGAGATATTGAAGATCGTATTATTCCACGAAGTTTAGATGCTGACGATTCTGATGTGGACGTCAAAAGTGACAACGAGAGGTTGGCTGGTTTGCTGGTTGGCTGGCTTTCCATTTTATTAATTTACTAATAAAACTATTTTCCTAGCCTTTTTTCTCTATACTTATTAGAGATAGCTTTAATTGCTTCGGCTTTTTATAATATGAATCCTTGGTCCAAGATCTGGTAGTCTAGTTTGTTTTGGGGTTGAGTATTGAAGTATCTCTAATGTTGTATAGCAGTGATGATGATGAGGATGACGACGACGAGGATGATACTGAAGCTCTTTTGGCTGAGCTGGAACAAATAAAGAAGGAAAGAGCGGAGGAGAAGCTTCGGAAGGTGAGCCTTTTGTCTATCTAGATAGTGTCATGATCTGAAGTTGTGCTTGTAGAACCTTTATTTTTCTCCAAGATTTAAAAAGAATGCACCATGAATCAAGTGATTAGTAACTGGGATCACTTCGAGTGGTCGAATCTTTTAAGACCAACGAGCTCCGAAATGCAGAGTTTAAATTTGGCTTCATCAGTTGCTTAAATCTGCATTACGATCTATAGGAAAGACAAGAGCGGGAGGAAGAGCTTAAAGTCAAGGAAGCGGAGTTACTCCGAGGAAATCCACTGCTTAACGAGCAACCCGCCTCTTTTAGTGTCAAAAGAAGGTCAGTTGGCCTAATTTAACCATTTTTTTAACTTGTTTATTTCTTGTATCTACTATGAACATCTATTCTGATGATGCACCTTCCTGCTGGCTTTTGGGTTAGATGGGACGACGATGTTGTGTTCAAGAATCAGGCCCGTGGCGAAACAAAGACTCCTAAGCGCTTTATAAATGATACCATCAGGAACGACTTCCACCGAAAATTCTTGCACAAGTACATGAAGTAACATGGTTATCAAAATCTACTGGCGCTAAAGGATTCAAGTAAGTTCGAGTGGAGACTAAAACTGTATATTTGTTTTATCCGCATTACATAATTCGTAGTGTGACCTTCAGGTACCAGCCTCTATGAAATATGCATTGAATATTTTCAGTTTGCCTTCTGAATTAGATGAACTATAAGGATCCAAAACTATGTCAAACGAATGATTATTAAAATGCTTTCATGAGAACCTGTCTTAGCTCATACTTTAATAGCAATAATGATGATTGGTCTCCCAAATAATGGATTGGCTAGGACCCTGTACTTCAAATACTGTAGCCGAGGACCCTGGCTAGGAGAATCCAGACTTCTTGTAGGCCACAGTTCTTTCACCAAATAGAGCTTTTCGAGTTGAAACATGTATACCACTCTAAAGATCGATGAAAATGTTCAAAATATGTGAATATAGGACAATAACCCGATTCGAATAGAAGTCAAGAGATGTCTCCTTAAACTTTTAGGTTTGGTGGAACCTTACTAAATGATTTCAACGATGTAAAATACCGAAACAAAGACTTGGTCTCAGGTTCGGTATCGATCTCGGACTTCCAACTTCAACTGCTTGAAATAGCCTTAGCTCGTCAAAGTTATCCTTACTCCTTTCCTTTCTTTGAATGGTCTCTTTGAAACAATACTCAATTGTTTTCACCAGTTTTTTTGTCCAATCCTTCCCAACTTGGACAACTAGTTGTAGATGTTCGGGTGCCTTTCCAACTTGGTTCGAGAGAGGCGAAATGCCGATGGATCTTCGGGAAGACTTGTGTTACGACAGCTTAACGACTCCATGGGGGAATTTACAGAGTCAAAACACTTAAAATTTTATTTTTCATTATTCTTTAAATGAATTAATTTGTTCTACAACTATGTCTCACTATGTGGCTAGACGTAATTAGTTGTACTCGAGCTGAAAATTATTTTAAAAGTGTTGCTATAAGTTTTGTATAGCTTTTGTCTTTAATTATGACGATAAATTTCTTATAGGTGGAGTTATGAACTTTGATAGTGTAGAATTGTCGTCTTATAAAAAAATCATTGAAACAAACTGTTAATCGACGTTCATAACAAATATTTAGCTAGAACGAGTTAGCTTAATAAAACTCTCTACTCGGTTGCCCACCTTGTGTTATTCATCTTGTTACTAAATTATGAACTTAAAATTACTAATTTTGTACTTTAGAAAACTTTTATAAGGGTGGTTGAGAATACTTTTATATATATTTTCTTTTTTTTTTTGTACAGAAAGAATATTTTAAAATGATATATTGTTTCATTATAATTTGAGTTTTTATAACATTTTTATATTAAATTATTTTATAAAATGAGTTAGTTTATATTGGTAAAAAAAATTAGATTGAAATATTATTTTTCATTTTAACTTGAAATACTAGTGCTAATAATTAAATGATTCCAAAAGTAAATTTTATAATTAATAGCGTCGTTTAGTGAATTATATATACATTATCAAAATAGAGAAAATATATAAATTGAGTATCATCGTTAGAAAAATAAACATTTTGTAGGAATTCTAAAAATTATAAAAAATGTTAAAAAAATTGAATTTAATAGACCAAGTTAATAAATTAATTTTTATATAAAATTTACTGAAGATATTACTTTTAAATTCTCAACTAAATACCGTTTTCGAATTTTAAAAATGAATTAAATATAAAAATAAAAATAAAATTTTGAAACCTTAATTGGAGTATTTGGTGTAATTTGTTAATTTTTTTAAAAATATATTAAAAATATTATAATATATATTTTATTCACAGTTTAAACCCTAGCCAATTCCACTTCAGATACCTCGTGCCGCTTAAACCTTCCCTCTCCCGCCGAAACCCTCCTCAGCCGTGCCGTTCAGTGCCGCCGCCGTCGTCGTCATTCTCGATTTTGCTTCTCCGCCGTGCTGCGTCATTCTTCGTCGATCTTCTTCCTTCTCTTGGTCTCAGGTATTCTATCTGTTCCCTTCTTTTCCCTACAAACTCTCTCTTTTGGGTATCTACAAGTTTCTTAAGCCCTAAATAAAACCTTCTCTATCTGATTTTTTTCACGTAACCTCGTGTAAAGTTACAGCCGAGCCCAACGACTAGATAACTGTGTGCAAATTGAGTCGAAGGTTTATAATGTCCGGTAAAGATAAGAACTTGCATAATATGTCGGAGTCGGATTCCGAACAAGAAGATGTTGGCAAAGAAGGCATTGAATGGATAATGAACCTTCCAGATGTGCCCATGAAGCTCCCACCACATGTAGAATTGCAGAGGACTCGCGTCGAATGCAAAGCCGATGCTCCCATTCATGTACCCTTCTCTTCCCTCTCCCATGTTTTGTTTGTTTTATCATCTTACTCTTTTTTTATTCGAATTCTAAGAATGATGTTCAATTCAATGAAGTATATGTTTTGTTTTTGTTTTAGTCTTTTTGTTTTCTTTTTGATGCGGAAGCTATGTAGAATCTTGTTCAAGTCTTTGCTCCTAAGCTTGAGGAAATATTCTTTTTAAGACGTTTAATTTAGTTACGTAGTAGGTTGAAATGCATGAATAATATCAACCTATTAAATCAAGTTTCCTGTTTTTGGAGAGAAGCGAATTTAATGGTTATGACTAATTTTTATTCATAGAATGTGTCTGGCTATGTTTCATACTGTAATAGGGTTGTTTAAATTTTCTTCTCATGGTCCTTGTGGAAAATGTTGTCTTTTGTAGACGGATACGATACAGTATTCTGGAGCATATGCTTCGTTGGGTATTGATAACAGCTTACGACTGGATTCTTTTCGCAAGAACTTCAAAATTGAAGTGATTGATCTCAAAGAGGATGACATGGAATTCGACATGATCGGCATTGACCCATCCCTCGCTAATGCATTTAGGAGAATCCTGATAGCTGAGGTAGGTAATCAAGCACATTGAATTAAAAGTAAACTACTTGTTTTTTTTAGATAAGATTTTTTCTGGACTTTTGGTGTATGCCTCCTTCTCACCAATTCTGGTGCGCTACTGTGATTAATATATCAAAAAGCTATTGAGATTTAGCTTGAAGGCCAGATTTAAATTTTTATTCCCATGACTACACATTTTCTTTATCTGAAGCCTGTGTTTTGTATGGAAGAGACATATGCTCATATGATAATGTATGGAAGTTTGGAGTCTCCGTGCCTTGTGTAAAGGCTAGAAGAATAACTTTGGAATATCGTCTATTCTTCAAAATATGGAAGTTTGTTCATGTTTTCAGAGCTTAAAAATTAGTGATTTTGGTGATAATGGCTTGAGCTACTGGAGTTGTCTTGTTAGACATGACATGGTCCTCGGTGTACATATTATTTCTTTTTCCATTGTAACTTAAAGAAACACCCAGACGAAAGTTAGGAATGGGGCAATCCCATTAACTTCAATGATGATGCTATTGAAATTGAACTTCAGAATTTTCATTTAAAGAAGTGAAAAACTGATAGAAGTGAGACTTTTTGTTTTATAATAAAATAATAACTATCATGACACAGTTTTGCCTTTTTTCTTCCCTCAATATTTTTTGATTAAATTAAGGCTTATGCCTTGTCTCTCCTGTTGAAAAGCCTTTGGGAATGCTTTTAGACCCTGTTTGGGATTAATTTTACAGGCATTAAAAGTGACTATGGTGAAATTTTAACCCTTTTATTCTCTGGTAAATCTGCTTATTAAATAACCTAAAGAAAACCACTTAAAATTACTTTGATCTGTGTAAGATCTGTTTTCTGTGGCTTTTAGGATTGACTTCCCAAAAAATATGATAGCTCTTCTTACTAACTTTCCATAATTTCCATTTTATCCCATATTATTCTAGTATTTCACATTTAAGTTTGAAATTTATCCAACACGTATTTACTAAATATTACAACTAATTTTTCTGAAAGCACAGTTGACAATTATTTTAAAAGTTGTAACTAGCCTTAGTCTGTTAGAGCGTTCCATGTGATTAGGGATGTTTATTAATGAATGGAATGTATGTATTTTTGCTGTTTGCGTTTTTCATATGCAATTTCCTTCTATGTTAACAATTACAATATTTACATTCTTGCTATGCTGATATGGATTTGATCTAACTTTTTATGCAGGTTCCCACTATGGCTATTGAAAAAGTATTGGTTGCTAACAATACATCAATAGTCCAAGATGAAGTGCTTGCCCATAGGTTAGGTCTCATCCCGATTCGTGTTGATCCAAGGCTTTTTGAGTACTCAGGTATTTGTGTGTATGTATCTGTACATCTAATGTGCTTATGTGTGCTGATACTGGAAACTTTTATATGCATGTTAAGAAATAATTTCTATTTGGCTGACCCTAATACTTTCTGAAGACGCTTAACTAATAACTTCTGTTCAAAATTAGATAAAGACACGCCAAATGAGAAGAATACAATTGTTTTTAGACTCCATGTTCGCTGTGAACGTGGAAAACCTCGTCTTACCGGTATTTTTTCTGTTTCCTTTATAATGTAGGCTAAAATTTCATAATTATAAACTTTTTTCAATATTTTCTTGTTTCACTACTAATGCTGAATGTATGATGGGTGATTCAGCGACGTCAAAAGCATTGACATGGCTACCAAATGGTAGTGAATTTCCTTTGGTATCTGATAAATCAGTTTCAAACACAAAGCCCAAAACATATACTTCTTTTAGTTGCAGCCAAGACACGCTGCCAGAATTTGCCAACAATCCAATTGGTCCAAAGGACGGTGATATTATACTTGCTAGACTCAGCTCGGGTCAGGTAACTGACCCGAAAACTTTATCTATTTTCTGTTGAAATATTGGGAAGAAGTGGTGTGCATGGGTAGATGATCAAAGCTGATGAGTTATGCTATAATGTAACATGTCTTAAATTTAAATTGTGTTTTGTACTTGTAATTTTGTTTGCAAATAATCGTGGAGCTCTGTAGGTGTTTTAGGTTAATTGAAGAAGCAAATTTGGTATAATGTGTATAAAAACCGTTACATATGAGTATGAAATTGGCATATATAATTTATAACTGGAGTTGATATCACTTCGTGTATGTGGTGCTTGTGCTACCAGACTAATTATTTATACTGCAAGTACCTTTACTTCCAATTGAAATCCATTTTGGTAGTTCCAGTTCCGGTATTATAAATTTCTTTGTACCTTAATATATTGTAATTTTCATATTAGCAAGAAAATAATATTTATCATGGAATTACTCTCGAAGCAATGGGATGTTTATTATGCTATGATTTTGGGTATATTTCAGTGCTTCATGTGCTATTTTTTCTCAGTAGTTAGCAGGTGTAAGTTTCTTAATTTTTGGTTCAAATATTTATAGGAAATTGAACTTGAAGCTCATGCTGTTAAAGGTATGGGTAAAACACATGCTAAGTGGTCTCCAGTGGCCACTGCTTGGTACAGAATGCTTCCTGAGGTAAGAAAATATGTTAATTTGTTACTCAAAGATACATAGATGTTTTGAAGCCCTAACGAAAGTTGTGATATTAGGTTGTACTTCTGGAAGACATAGAGGATGAGTTGGCAGAAGAACTCAAAAACAAATGTCCTGTTAATGTCTTTGACATTGAAGATATAGCTAATGGTTAGTTTGCTTCATACATATGCTATTAATTTATGTTTATACTTGGAACATTACGGTGGTAATGTTTCGGTGATGGGAAGGATTCTTTAAGATTGAAGTTCTTGTTATGTATGGGCCTCTTTGATGATGTTCCCATTGCTTGTTTCCTGTTCCCATTTCTCATATTTAAGAAACAAGTTTGTTTTTGATAATCATTCTCAGTTCTTGTCTCTAAAATTTAAAAAATGTATCTAAAGTTGGGGCCAAATTTCAGAAGCTACAAGAAGTAGTTTCGATGTGTTCCATTTCTTTCCTCCCGTCTTCCATTCCTTTTCCTCAACTTTCTAGGGCTCTTTCTTCAAGCTTTCGCCTCTCTCAAGCATAGGCACATACACCTGAGGGGTAAATTTTTTGCTCGATATCTATTTGATTTCTCGTCTTCTGTTTCCTCTTTGATTTCTGCTCTGTTTTCCGGTTTCTTTTTGTTCATTTAATTCTTTGAAAGAGTATTTTGAAATTTTCTCGAGTGTTTGATTCTCCAGCATTCTCTTCAACTTTGTGCTCATAAATTAAATTTCTTCTGATGTTGTGCTGGGTTTAGTATGCGTTTTGTGAGTTTGATGTATTTTGTTTATTTTATGGTATTCTGTGGCCGACTATGGAAAATATGTTTTTCTGTGTATTTTTGTTATGGTGTATGCCTTTCTTTTATTTTCTCCTGGATTTTTCATGCTTCTATACTTTCTTGGTACGAATCACTAGTGGAGCTTCTTTTTCTTCATTTGGTTGGTTCCAATCATTGTTGTCATTGGATCCCCATTGTTGTGCTGGTTTACTTCTTTGGGAAGTCTAACAGGGAGGGGAGGAGGATTAATGGAGACTTCTGGAGTTGTGGCTAAGATTTGTTCAAGGAAGTGAATTTGGTGGCTATTGTTTTTGCTGTTTTGGGATGCTTCGCTTTGTGTAGGAAGACTAAGGAGAGTTAGAGTTGCTTAATCCAGGCTTGACTTTTGGATTCTGATGGATAATTTGGGTGGGGTAGAGGAAGGATTTGAGGTTTTGGATCAAAAGGATATTTGGGATTTCTGATGAGGGTTAGATTTGGTCATTGTTTTTGTTCCTCTATGTTGGTTTTCTGACATTCTATGGCGGCGATGGTTCCTGATTTGAGGCATTAATGGGTTATTTAAGCTTTATTGAAAAGAAGAAACAAGAAAAAGTTACTCAAGCTTTTGTTTCTTGGTTTTTCTTTTTCAAGAAAGAAGAAACATAAATAGTTATGAAACAGATTCTCGTTTCAAGTTCTAAAAAAAACAGGAAACAAGAAACAATAATGTTATCAACTGGGGCTTATATAACTAATTTCCTTACTTTTTGGGAGTCTTATTTATATCCTGATGGAGTTTTAGCCTTGAAACTTTTCAAATACTGATAGAAAGTTGTCTTTCAATGAAAAACCAAAAGAGAGTCAAGTTTTTATCCTCTCCCTCGATATGCTATATCTCCTGCATCCCTTTCATTTCTGATGAATAGATGATGAGTTATTTGGTTCTTTCTTATATTGCAAAGATGGATTTCAAATGGTCGCATGTTATTGGTCTATTTTTTCCTAATTCAAATTGATTCCTTTTTCTCCCACACTTAATTATTGTCAAATTTTGACTTGTAGGTAAGAAAAGGGCAACTGTTGCACGTCCACGAGCTTGCACATTGTGCAGAGAATGCATAAGAGGAGAAGCATGGGAGAAACGTGTCTCATTGCGTCGAGTGAAGGATCATTTCATTTGTAAGTTATGGATTTTTATGCACAACTTAGATGGTAGAACTAGACAGGATAAATAATGGTGCTGATGGTGGACACATCTTTTTTCGTTTAAGTGACTTTTTTCAAAATCACTTTTAAACATTGTAAGTCCAAGAAGAAAATGTATTTTTGTCACAGAAAAAGATTCTTTTAACTGGGTCAAACATACTCCCAAATAAACACCCTTAGTTATCTTTGTTAATAGTTTCAAGAAACTCATTCCTCATTGATTATGTTCATTTTCGTCTTTCCTTTCCTTTGCAGTTAAGATTGAATCAACAGGAGCTTTACCTCCAGAGGTGCTGTTCACTGAAGCTGTAAAGATTTTGGAAGATAAGTGTGAACGTTTAATTGCTGAGCTCTCTTGATTCTTCCTGTCCAAAAGAGATGAACGTGTATATTATTTCATTTTATTCAGCAGTCATCAATTTTTGTAATATAGGAGGATTCATATTCTATTTTTCTTTTTAATTGACAGTAGAATAGTAAGTTTTGCTGATCTCTCTTGATTCCTCCTAGATCTTATGAATGCCAACTTGGAGGTGATCGAATAAGAGAATAGACAAAGATAATGTTATTTCTTCAATGGAATTCAAGTCTGTTTACTTATAAGGAATTCAAGTATCTAAGAGCTTTGAGTACTTAAATTTATAGAAATGTAAGCTTGTTATACTTTCTGTTATGTAGCTTACTGAGATATGCTGGAATGTTTAGATGTTCATGTTTATTTGATGAGATTTGTTGATGACAGTCTCTATTATAATAGATGATGTTGTAAAGAGCAACAATTATTTGAAGCAAATGGCTCCATTTTGGTCTCCCTTTTCTCTTTCCCTTTTAGGTGATTTCACGACTGAGATCCTACGTTGGTTGCGGAGTAGAATGAAACATTTTTTTATAAGGGTGTAGAAATAAGGGTGTGGAAACTTCTCTCCAGGAGACACATTTGAAAAAAACCTTGAGGGGAAGCCAAAAGAGGACGAGGTTGAGTTCTAAAGGGGGTGGATACGAGGCAGTGTGTTAGCAAAGACACTGAGCTCCTAGCATACTGAGCTCTGAAGGCCCACGTAGATTGTAGAAGGGAACGAGTGTTAGCGAGTGACAACGCAATGCTTTGAAGGGGGTGGATTGTGAGATCCTATACTGGTTGGGGAGAAGAACGAAACATTCTTTATAAGGGTGTGAAATCCTCTCTCTAGCATGTAATGTCTGCCAGCGGTGGACTTAGGCTGCTATACCTTAGCTCTATTTTCCTTTTTTATTTATTTATGCTGCAATATAGTCTTGAGTCGTTGATCATTGAGTTAGCTGTACAGATTTCTCCAACTTTCTACGTTTTTTGCTTCTAGAAAACAGGGCTAAAGAGGTTGATTGTGGAAGCTATAAACCCATCTTTGTTTCACTTAAATCCATGAGTATTTTGCTCTTTGTATTTATACCTTTTCCAGTTCTTAACTCATGATGTATATAGAGCGTTCTGATTGCTGTAAATTGCATTATTTGATCCCTAAAAGGTATATGATCTGTTCATATGCCATTCCCATCTGACTTAATTTTGTGCATGTCTTCAATTTTGGAGCGTAGCATTCATTTTTATTCATGAACTAGCTTGGTCAATCCAATCTTGAAAAACACGGGATCTCGGGAAGAGTAGAAGATGTCGAGTTTGAGCTGGCAAATCGAAGTTACTTTCAAAACCATACATTCCTATTGTTTGCACGTGTACAGTGGAACACCGCTCAATTGCTTGCAATTTAGAAGAGAACGAAAGGGAATACCTATTAGCAACAATCATTTTGTATATCATTTGCATCTATTTCACAAACGTTCATCTAATTCCTGAAAAATGTTAATCATTTATATAATTCTTGAAATATATATAATAATTTATAATCGATAATTCAATATTTAAGAACCAAATCATTCAACCCGCTCATATAACTTGAAAGTTTAAGAACCAAACCACTTAAATTTGGCATATAAGTTAGGAATCTAAACCGTACTTGTTCTTGAAAGAGCCCCAACATAGAAGCGTGCGAGAATAGTAGAATATAAAAGCTTTCTTGAATTGATAACGACCCACCACAAAAGATAAAAGTTTCTATTCTTCGATTTTTTTAAAAAAAATTAATTTCTTCTAATTATTATTATTATTTAAAAAATAAAAAATAAAAAAGAGTTAAAAATTATTTCATATTCCTCTTAGATACCCATTGACAAATTGGAATGCATTTGATTCTTTACCAACATTATTAGAATCTTTTATGAGTTGAGTCTTACCGAATCCGATGTCGATTGGGTAGGGGCGTGGATGACTTTTCCATGTCTATTCCCGCTACCTACTTTAATCATTTTAATCAACAACTAGTATAATTTCTAAAAAATTCAAATTTCAATATTACCGTATAGCTAATAAGAATAATAATAATAAAATAATAGTAAAATAATAAATCTATCGATCAATAATTGAGGTGAGAGGAGGAAAAGAATTTTGTGTTCATCCTTGTCTAATTTTCGAATATTAATGTATTTTTTAAACAAAATAAAAAGTTAAAAGATGTTACGAGTATAAATATCTTAATAAATTACTCAAAATTTATTAATATATAGTTATAACTAATAACGACCTTAAAAAATCGTTTTAAATTTATATATATATCTTTATTCGATCATTTAGTGACGACAAATCAATATTAAAACATAAAAATGAAAAGAAAAAAAATATTCTACAAACAATAGTGAAGGGCTTCCCATGTCTTTATAATTCAAAAGAGAATATTATTATTATTATTATTATTATTATTATTATTATTAGGAATGTATTCTCCATTCACACCGCCCCATCTCCAAAAATTTGTCATTTTTTTAAATTTTAAATTTATAAATTATTAAACTTTAATTATTAAAAATACTTATTATAAACTTTAAAAAGTTTGATTAATATATTATAATTTTTTTAAGAAATTAAAAAATACATATGAAATTTTAAAAATAGGAGCGAGACCTTTTACTTTATAAATATTTCATAATAATTATTATTGAACGAGTCTATTAATACCTCATAGATTATCTCTAAACTTTTTACTATTAATTTTTGAAAGTTTATGAGTATTTTTTAAACGTGGTGTTAATGGTAAGAATAATTTTGCACGTTTTTTTTTTTTTTAATTTAAAGGTGTTTTAAGATTTTAAAAATGTTTAACTTTAATGGTGAAAGTTAAAATTTAAAAGGGTATATTAGAGTGTACTTTGTTTGAGGGCTGAAGAGAAAGGAGTCGAGCCTCAATTAAGGGGAGACTGTTCGAGAGCTCCATAAGCCTCAAGGGAGGCTTATAATGGACTTTGTTCGAGGGGAGGATTATTATCGGGAATGAGTCCAACATTGGCTAATTTAGTGAAAGATCATGGGTTTATAAGTCAGAAATACTATCTTCTCCATTGTGTGGAGATCTACCCTTTATAAGGTTCAGACATTCCCGACATCATCATCGACATCATCGTCTTGGGTTGCCCACCTAAGTATAAATACTCGTCAACAACACTATAATCTCACGAGACTCTTTAAAACCAGATAGAAGAGCAACTGATACCTTATCAAATCTAATACATTCGAGTTGAACGATCAGAAAAAGACGAAGTTAAGTGGACGGTGGACGTGAGATGGCATGTGAGATAAATGAAAGGGCATGATAGTGTCCTTGGGCGTATTGAAATATAATATGTGATGGTTAGTGTTAGTATTGCATGTGGGGATTAGATTAGAGCGTTATAAACCCACTTCACATGCCTATCAATAATTTCCCAATATAATTCCAAATAATTAACCATTTTCATTTTTGTTCGACTTTTTAAATATTAAAGTTTTATCGTAAATCCAAATTAAAAAATAAATTCTAATTTTAATCTTCTCCATTAACGAATTTATTCAAAAAATTAAATATTTTGTCGTGTCTTATACAAATTTATTGTATAGGATAACCTCACAGACATTGACCACATGAACGATCATAGTAATTATAAGGTTAGTTGTATCAATGGACCAAGATAAGATACCCTACCTTATCCATATAATATGAATCATTTCGGTGTAGCACCCGAACCCTAACGGGATTTTATTGAGAGTGTTAGAGACCGAATTTGAAAAATATTTAGACGAATTAGCCCTAAATAGTGAAAAATTATAAAAATCACTCTACTAAAGTGATATGTTCATGAATCTAAAAGAGAACCACTTTCGGGCCCTGGAATTTTTCTTCATGAATTTTGCTAAACAGAAAAGAAATCGAAAACTTGGGTCAAAACCCAAGTTCCCTGGTCGGTCCCAATCCAAACCTATTTTGACCCAAACAAATGAAACGTTGTTATTACGTGAAGATCAGACGAGGACCCCGTTCAAAAAGGTAGAGATTAATTTAATTATAACGAAATAAAAGCATATTGAATATGGATATGGAGATGGGAATATTAATGGACTTCACATTTCCATTAAAGCTCATTCTTTGTTGGATTCCAATTGCAATATCAAATCAACATATGAAATAATTCCACAAAATACATTCCAACAATTTGGTAAAAGAATAAACCCCATTCGTTTAAAATATATATAATTTTAATATTTAAATTAATATATTTTAAAAATTGAAAAAATTAAAAAAAAAAAACAAAAAACAAAAAGAAGATTTTATTTATTTATTTATTCTAAAATTTTTAAAATTTAAAAATTATTTCTTCAAAAATGGAAAACAATAAACCTTGAAACAAGCAATGATAGCCAAATGCATATATTTCCCAAAAATAAGAATAAAAAAAATCCAGAATTAAATAATTGATTAATTAACTTTGTTTTTATTTCTTTTCCTTTTTTAAAAAAAAAAATCAAATTACAATTATTAATATATATATTTGTTTTAGAATCTAATGAATTATTAACTTTGTGTTTTTTTTTTTGTTTTTTTTGGTAAAATTAAAATTTTAAAAGCATGGAAAAATAAAATCACTTATTATTATTATTATTATTATTAGTTTATCGTGTTCTTCCATTATTATTTATAGAATTTTAATTACAAATTTGAAATTTAAAATTATAAAATAATAAATTTTAACATTTTATAGAATTTTAAATTCTTTTATCTTAATTTTGAAAAAAAGAGGAGTATTAAAAAGTTTTATTTTTAATTAATTTATTTTATTTTTTGTTGTATGAAAAAAATTATATTTAAAATGTTGTTTTCTTGTAGCTGTTCTTTTCAGCGAACAGTGTTGATTGACAGAGGATTTTGCTCTTCAATTTAGATTTTAATAAATCGCGTTTCTTCAGATTTCAATTTTTGTAAAGCGATTTCCCTCTCGTTTTCACTCTCTTCTTCAAATCAAAATGTTGTTTTCACTCTGATTCTCCCTCCCATCACATGTCCAGATTCGGGTGAACTGTGAATCATTACTAATTTTTCACTCGGAGTTCAAATCCAAGGGGGAGAGAGAGAGAGAGAAAGAGAGAGAGAGAGGATCATCTTTGAATTTGAAGCTAACCATTTCTTTTTTGTTTTCATATCTTTGAGATTCCTTCTCACTTTCTGTCCAAGTTTCTGGAAAGGGAAGGTGAAGGAAGAAATGGGTATCGCTAATCAGGATGCTATGAAGCAGTTTCAACTGCTAATCAATGAAGGTGATCTCT